ACTGGGACGTTATGTTTAGAAAATAAACGTCTCAGTTTCTCTGATACTCCCTCAACATATGGAATGACCACTGGTCTGGGTCTGGGTTCCTCCTTTTCACCTGTTGGCTGACTGGAGTCCTGTTTGGGTTTCTTCTCTGCTTTTAGGAAGGCCCAGTTAGGATATCCACATTGCTCTAGAGCCTGTCTTGTGTGGGATTTCTCCTTCTGCCTGGCTCCTGAGCTAGTGGGGACGCTGTCTGCTCTGTGGTACAGAGTCCTGATGACTCCTAACTTGTGCTCCAAAGGGTGATGGGAGTCAAACTGCAAATACTGGTCTGTGTGGGTGGGTTTGCGGTACACCTCAGTTTGCAAATGTCCTCTATCAGAGACTGAGACCTCACAGTCCAAGAAAGCCAACCTGCCATTTTTTACATCTTCTCGTGTGAACTTGATGTATTTATCCACAGAGTTGATGTGGTCAGTAAAATGTTGGACTTCCTGAGATTTAATTTTAACCCAGGTGTCGTCAACATACCTGAACCAATGACTTGGTGGTGTCCCTGAAAAGGACGTCAAGGCTCTCTTTTCTACCTCCTCCATGTACAGGTTGGCAACAATAGGAGAAACTGGAGACCCCATAGCACACCCATGTTTCTGCCAATAATATTGCTCCCCATATGTGAAGTAGGTTGACTGCAGGCACAGTTTCAAGAGTTGACACAGTTGTTCTGTGGAAAGCGTGGTCCTGCTGCTCAGAGTGGTGTCTGATTTTAATTTTAAACTGACCACCTCTACTGCATCATCAACAGGAATGCACGTAAAGAGTGATGTGACATCAAAAGAGACCATTGTTTCATCAGTCTCCATGATGACATCCCTCACCTTATCCACAAAGTCCATGGTGTTCTGTATGTGGTGTTCTGAGCTGCCAACTAAAGGGATGAGTACAGACGCCAGATATTTGGAAACATTGTAAGTGACAGAGTTAATCATGCTAACAATTGGTCTTAAAGGTACACCTTGTTTGTGGATTTTAGGTAAACCATACAGACTAGGTGTGGCCTCCCCTGGGTACAGTCTGTGGTACAGACTGTACCCAATTATGACAAATAATTGTGGATTTCCCTGCAGTTACCTTCGTACAGACCAACATGTGGTACTTCCTGTTTATAACTGCCATGTTGGCCCCTGGCCTTTATCATCTTTTACATTTTTCCAAACTCCATTTAGTTTTTGAAATGGAATAAACTGTGTCCACCCTCTAAACTATCCATGACTATCCATGCTGCTGATCTCATGCGTGTTCATTCGTGCTCATCTGCTCACACAGACTCATGTTCGTGCTGCTGTTGTTCAGCGTATTGTTTTGTACTGTTAGTGCTTTGTGTATTCTTAGTTTAGCATGTTTTTTAGTTCATATCTTAGATCTATTACTGTTTTTCTTTACATTATACTTTTGTTGGATGTAACTGGGACCCTGTGTACATACTTTCATTTATTGTCATTCCACCACATGTGCTACATGTGGTGGAATGACAATAAAGAAACTTTGACAAAACGCTCAGAGTTAACGTGTCTGAATTAAATGTCATAGTTTCTCATCTATTCGTTTTGACTAATTGATCATTTATAGGGCTGAATACCGAACCGAGGTTCTTAAATGGCACCCACCGAATTGCACCGGTCGGTGTATGTATTGAAACGTCACTCTTTTTTCTGTGTCAAGTTTCAGTATTGGCTGTAACGTGTCACTTGGTTTCAGCATGCAGGCAGGTAAAACACCAGACATGTGACAAACAGACTACGTGCTTACACCCAGAGCTGTATAGAGCTGCCGTACCTAATTATGTCTAATGTATGTCTACGGGGCTGGTGACGCCCACAGACTGGGTTCACGTGTGCAGCGCGTGTGTTGTTGAACGGCTTCGACAAAACATGCAACTTTCTGCTTAAGAGCAGAAAGTTGCTCCGTGTTTTTCTGCAAGAAGAGAGACGGACAGCAGCCCCCCCCCAGCATTAAAGTCAGTCTGTCAATGTTAAACAGACTGAATCAACATTCCACAGCCCGACTCGTCTTCATCAAAGAACTCCGAGGATGGAGCTGTGTCTGTGTTTCAGCTGGTGAGTTCACGTTTGTTAACCTGACTGCAGCTTAACACGTACATCGCGGTGAATTAAACTAGAATCCATGTAACGCCAACTTTAAGATATTAGTGTGTAGATTTATTTTATCTACGTAGCTAGCTAAACTCAGAAGCTAACTAAAGATTGACAGTAACTGATGAAGCTTGTAAACGTGCTCATCCATCGGATCAGCTGCTTAAACAGTTCAATAATGTTCACTGTTAAAGTTCTTCTCACAGGAGCCTCTGACCCTGATGTGAGGACAGAGACTCACAAAAGAAAAGTGAGGTGGGGGCCACAGGACAGTCACAAACTTTGTTGTTAAAAGTTTGCTGCTTCTAACTACAGTGGAGGCTGCATGGTGGAGGTAAGTTAAGATGTAAAGAATGATGTTGACAGTTAAACTTTTATCTCTCAGCCTATATAATGTTTTTTGATCAATAATAACGCAACTAGGGCTGTTGTAAACGAATATTTAAGTATTCAAGTAATTTATAGATTATTCTGACGATTGATCGAGTAATCGAAAACAAAATTTGTCAGGTTCTGCAGTAACTACCGTACTCATTTTATGATTGATACAAATACATGAAAAACATTAAATAAACAAGCCATTTAATTCCTCTTTTTAAAATATTTTATTGATTAAGTTGAATTATTTTTAAACATCACAAAAATCTAAATGCTCTAAAATAATTTTTATGGATTGTAAAACTGAATGGAATTTACAAAGTAGGATCTGGAAGGAAGGACATTATTTGGATTGAAGGTGGAGATGATCTTCTGGATCCTTCATCTTCCACCAGGACAGCAGCTGCATGTCTGTGATGATCATATTTAAAATGCTGTTTGTGAACTCAGCTGCTGCTCAACCAACATCCTGGAGCTGTTTGTATGAAGCTGTCCAACGTATGACTCTGCATTTACTGAAAAGAAGAATAAAATTATTATTTGTTTGTTCAATGTTGTTTCTTAATACATTTTCAAGTGTACTTCACTGGATATTATAAAATTATGTAATATTGTTAAATAATCTACACTTTCTGATGACCTGCTGCGATCAAAGTAACATTAGTGTCAGTTGTATTTGATTTATGCATTTTATTTATGAGGTTTGAGGATGATTTAATTAAAACTCTGTCACTGAATTATTTTTAAATGTCACATAAAAACCTAAATGCTGTAAATAATTTTTATGGATTGTAAAACTGAAGGAATCTTTATGTTATAAACTGAGTAAGATAGATTATGTACAGTTTAGTTTGTACATGGAGTTCTGCAGACTGTATCAGAGTCAGAGATTCTTTATTGTCATTCTCACCTCATGTGGTACATGTGGTGGAGCGAAATTATGTACACAGGGTCCCACTTACATCCAACAATTATATGTAAAAGAAAAACAGTAATAACATCTAAGATATGAACTAAGAAAAACATCAACTAAATATACACTAAACACTCATAACATAAAAACATTGAACATCAGCATGAACATGAACATGAGTCTGTGTGAGCAGATGAGCACGAATGAACACATCAACATTGAAACAGATCAGCAGCAACATGAAACAGATCAGCAGCAACATGATGTGATTTTTCACAGTGATTATTCTAGTTAGAGATTCATGAGTCTAACAGCCTCAGGGTAGAAGCTGTTCCTCAGTCTAGTGGTTCTACATTTAATGCTCTTCAATCTCCTTCCTGAGGGGAGTGGGGCAAACAGTGTGTGTGCTGGGTGAGTGTGGTCCTTCATGATGCAGGTGGCCCTCTTCCTGCATCTGGAGGTGTAGATGTCTGTGATGGTGGGGAGACTGACTCCAACATCTTCTGTGCAGCCTTCACCACTCTCTGCAAAGCTTTTCTTTCTGCAGCTGTGCAGCCTCCATGCCACAC